ATTTGCATTTCTCGGATAATGAGTGATGTTGAGCATCTTTTCATGTGTTTTTTTGCCATCTGTATGTCTTCTTTGGAGAAATGTCTGTTTAGATCTTTGGCCCATTTTTTGATTGGGTCATTTATTTTTCTGGATTGAGCTGTAGGGGTTGCTTGTATATTTTTGAGATTAATCCTTTGTCTGTTTCTTCATTTGCTATTATTTTCTCCCATTCTGAAGGCTGTCTTTTCACCTAACTTACCTGGGGTCTTAAGCTGCTTCGCCCCCTCTCATCCTCTTGCCCACTTTTTCTGACTACTGTCTTCCTCTTCTGGAGCCATCACTCCTGTACTTTCCAATTAAAATACCATTTCTGTGAATGCTGCCTGCAGATCCACCAGGAAAAACAGCCTTGGTCATCCATACCTAAGCTTGGTCCGCAGTGTGGTTTTTCCCTCTGTGTTTTAATCTTTCCCTTTATTGACATCGCTCTGAAGTAGTCTGTATTCCCACATGGTTTTTCGTATTGGTGGCACTCCCAGCAATATTTCACATGGCTCCCCCGAAATGCTTATACAGTTCTTAGGTTAAAAGCTCAAGTTACAGGGAAGAAGGCAAAAGACCCCATCCATACCCATGATGTCTTTCTTTAAGCTGGAAAGAAAGTGAATCTGAGCAGTCATTGTGACACCACAGATCTGTATGGCGCTTTTGAGATTTGAAATCAAAGCCTCGGGTAGTGGATAGAGCTTGGCTTGGAGATAGTACCTTAGAGATAGGCCCCAGTTCAAATTCTAGCTCCGATAAATTCTGTGACCTAGGGCAAGTTATATTATTTTTCTTAGCATCGGTTTTTTTCATTTTTAAAATGGGGGTATTAATGCCTTCTGATCAGGGCTGCTGTGAGGATTAAATGAGGTTGTATTTATAATGCATGCAGCAAGATACCTAGTTTATAGGCTTACAGCCTAGGGTAAGAGAGAGACCAAAAAGCCATTTTGGAACACAGCATGGAGGGGTAAAAGGCATGACACTAGTTTGCTGTGGGAATTCAGATGTGTATGAACCTAACTGCAGGTATCTTCTACCTCAGCCAGCCCTCTCCTTTTTCCCGTCCTCTCCCTCTCACGTCATATTCTGTACTTTTTTTAAGAAATTTTTTTTTTGCGGTGTATACTAGAATCAAACCCAGGCCTCCTGCACTGGGAGCATGGAGTCTTAGCTACTGGACCATGAGGGAAGTCCTTTGTACTTCTGACTCTAGAGGCCTTTATTCTTTTGCTTGAATCTGCTGTGAAATTTTCTGTCTAGTTTCCTCTCATATTTTCTTTGTCTAAAACAAATTGTTTGTAGTGTCTGTACTGCAAAACTAGCAATTTATTGCCATCTTGAGATCTTAAGATCATAAGCATGAAGGTCCTGTCTCCCCTAATAGGATACTGTGTCTTTATCCTCACAGCACCATGAGCAGAACTTAACCCTTTATAAACATTTATTTGATTGTAATTGGTTCAGGGCATAAAGGGCAAGTCTACAATTCCGTTCAACAGGTCAGCATGCACCATGTCCCTTTCTCCAGTAGCTCTTCCTACAAGATCATGCCGAAACTCAGGGTAGCATTTGGTGTCTGGAAGAAATGGTAGCATTTTTTTTTAGGTGAATTCATTTTTATCTGACACTTACAGCCCACAGCACTTTGCACATACTAAGTTCTCCGTCCGGTTTTGATTGGTTTGGACCCTCTGTGCCAGCTCATGCACCTTGCCCTTCCCATCCGGGTGACTCTCCTCCTCTTTTCTGTGACGCTGCTTGATTGCTCGTTTTCCAGTGTCTCGTGTGGCATAGCAGCACGCTGATGAAGAGTGCTAGGTGAAAGAGAGGGGTGGGATACTCTGACTGGTTTATTTCTCATTCACACCAGAGAACAGTTGTCCAAAGTAACCCAGTGAACATTCTGCAAAATGTGGAAGATTGTTAGAGCTTTGTTTATGAGGAAATTTTTGTCTCTGTTCTATGATCGTAATTGATTTACAGTCTTACTCATCAGCTTGACTGTGAAATAGGAGGTAGATGACGAAGTATCCTGGCTTCAGCTTCCAGGGGAATTAGATGAGCGGGTCAAGTAAAAATGGTTCACAGCTCTGGCCTCTGTTTTGGTAGGCACCGTGGATCCAGAGGTTAGAGTCTCTCATAGAAGGACTCTAGTGGAAGCCTTGCCTGCTGTTGTGAGCTCTCCTCTGTGCACCAGCCCTACCCCCACCTCGCCCTTCCATTCCCACCCTTTAGGGACAAGATGTGGAGGTTGGGCACCAACATAATTTGGAGATTAGCTTCACGCATAAGCATGAAGGGGGAGCAGAAGTAACAGAGACCTTATCCCTGCTCTCAAGAATCTTACGATAACATGCGTGACACAGAGAAGAATATTCTACCACTGGAGAGCAAGCAGCTTTCACCTTTTGTACCAATATCACCTTATAAGAAGGGACTGGCTACAGGACTGTTTCAGGAGGGATCTGAATTTACCCCGGAGATCAGTGAGAAAGACAGCCATTCCTGATGAGCATTGCCCACCGCAGGCTCAGGGTGAGAGAAGGTCAGCATGTTTCCAGGATAAGTGACATCTTCACACTGTATAGTAGTGTATTAGAAAAAAAAAAGTGTCAGCGTTACAGATGCCAGAAATTGCAATTATATAGAGGATGGGCGTGAGTAGGGGTTGTCTGGGTGCCCCCTGAGCTGAGCTAGGAGGGCAGCGGACAGATGGCCATGGGAGAGACACCAAGGAAGTCATCTAGGCAAGGGCACAGAGTTAGGGGCTAGAGATGGAGCTGAGGGGGCAGCTGAGGGGAGTCCAGCTGAAGTGTGGGGACACAGTGGAGGAGAAGTGGGAGATTAAATGGAAAGATGAGGCAGGGAGAGGGTGTGAGGAAGGGGGATGGTCACCCTGGAGCTTTCCAAGGTCAAGCTTCAAGGTGATGGCTTGCTGACCATCACCACCGTCACAGTGCACCAGGCTAGGCCTGAAGTCCTTTGAGGGCAGAGTGACTGTATCTAGATGTCATAAACTCTTAGTAACAAAAGCTCTTGGGTAAAGTGTCAATCTTCTCCTGTTCGTGCTAATTGATACTGCGTGTGGTTCTTGTCTTTTTCTTCCTGACGGTTATATAAATACATGTAGAAAGCACAGCTGGATTCCTGTAACCTCAGACAGTAACCTAAAAAGATGCAGAATGTCAGGGCGGGTGGGAACACCCTCCCCTTCCCCATGTTTCATACAGCACAACGGTGCAGGGACCGATTAATACAGCCCTGTGGGATGCGACAGTGATGACTCAACGTGACTGAGGCAAACTCAGTGACGTTCGAATGGGAACTGGGCGAAAATTAACACCATCATCACCACCGTGACCTGGGGCAGGCCTGGAGCTGCTCAATAGTTTCTCTCCTCTCAGAAATTCTTGCACCTTTAATTCCAGAAGTTGTAAGAATAAACTGCATTAAAGGAGAGAGAAAGCATTTTTTTGTAAAGAATATTTCATTACAGTTCCTCTTTGTTTAGGTATCTATAAGCCTGCCACAGTCCTTTGTCCATGGGATTTCCCAGGCAAGAATACTGGAATGGGTGGCCATTTCCTTCTCCAGGGGAACTTCCCGGATCAGGGATCAAACCCACATCTCCTGCTTGGCCGGTGGATTCTTTATCATTGAGCTACCTGGGAAGCCCACCTTTAGGTTAATGATGTCTAAGTATTTGCTGACATTATACCTTTTGTGTTTGAGGAGTAGTCGGGTAGAGCGGAGGGCTTCCCAGGCGGCACTAGTGGTAAAGAACCTGCCTGCCAGTGTAGGAGATGTGAGACATGGGTTCGATCCCTGGGTAGGAAAGATCCCCTGAGGGCATGGCAGCCCACTCCAGTACTCTCGCCTGGAGCATCCCATGGACAGAGGAGCCTGGCGGGCTGCAGTCTGTAGGCTCACCAAGAGTCAGACACGACTGAAGCGATGCGTGTACGCACAGGGTAGGGTGGGTAAGAAGCATGAGGTTTGGGGGCAGGCTGCTTGGCTTTTAATCCTGGCTCCCCCACTGTCTGGCTGTATGACTCTGGACAAGGTCCTTTTCTGTTCCTCACTATATAACAGGGAGGTTAGTGTTAGTCCCTAGGTCATAAGGTTATTTGTGATGATCAAGTGAAGTTCATTGAAGTGATGCTTACAAAGAGCTGTGCATCAGAAGTGTTCAGAAAATGATGACTGTCATGATGTAGGGTTTTCATTTCTGGCAAGAGAAGCTGGTACTAATATGGTACTAGGACCAGGGCACACAGCTAAACAGTAGATTCTAGGCTCAGCTTTGCCACTAAATTGTGTGACCAACTTTCCAGGCCTTCATTTTGTCATCTCTTAGAGGGTCCAGTAATACCTTGTCTTTCCTCCAGGGGTTTGGGATCAAATGTGACCATGGAATGCCTTGAAAAGTGTAAAGCAGCAGACAAATGCCAAATTTTGTCATTGATGTTATTATTTGGGGGGGTTGTTGGTTGATGATACTGATAAAGATGGGTCCAATTTTTTTAGTGTTTTAAATTAATTGTTTTTTCTTGAGGTATAGTTGATTCACATTATTGTGTTAATTTCAGGTGTACAATGAAGTGATTAAACTATATAGGTTATTATAAGATATGGAATGTTGTTCCCTGTGTTATACAGTAAATCCTTGCTAATTGTCTACTTTATATACAGTAGTGTATATGTTATTCCCATGCTCCTAATTTATCCCCACCTCCTTTTTCCCCTTTGATAATCATACATTTGTTTTCTGTTTGTGAGTCTGTTTCTGTTTTTGTGAACAGATTCATTTCTGAATACAAGTGATATCATATAATATTTGTCTTTGACTTACTAAAATGGGTCCAGTTTTCAATGTAACAAGCATGAGGAATGATTTCCTGGTGGCAGTCAAGCACAACTGCTTTCTCCTCATTGAACTAAAGTGACATTTCACGTTTTCTTCCTGCTAGAAACCTTGGAGAGCTGATAGATCGGTTTGTGGCCGATTTCAAGGCCCAGGGCCCACCTAAGCCCAACACGGACGAGGGAGGTGCCGTGCTCCCCAGCTGCGCTGACCTCTTCGTCTACTACAAGAAGTGCATGGTGCAGTGCTCGCAGCTCAGTACCGGCGAGCCCATGATCGCCCTGACCACCATTTTCCAGAAGTACCTCCGTGAATACGCCTGGAAAATCCTCTCTGGCAACCTGCCCAAGTGAGTTCCCATTCTTCCTGGTGTGAGTGGTAAAGTAAGCTTCTGAATATACCTAAATATGGAAATCTTTGAGGAAATCCATTCTGAAGTTGTTTACTGAACTGCTAAGAATATCAGGAAAATCCCCTGATGGAGTTTCTAATGGTCTGAGATGGTTTCCTCTCAAATGGGATCCCCTAACCGATCAGGACCATCACAGGAAATATGCTCTATGGTCACCAGCATAGGTCACATCCTAGCACGGTGGACTCCAGAGTGTCAGTCCCATTATAGATGGATTTAGTTCACGTGGATTCAGTGATTCAGGGATAGGTACTTGGCAAAAAAAAAAAAAAGTGGGATTATGGTAGAGATGACTTTCGAGCAGTAAGGGCAGGTTCATTCAGGCCGGAGTCTCTCTTATGACATCTTGCTGTCTTGGATGGAGCCCAGTGTTTAAAGGTGTTGGGGGATTTGGGGGGAGGTCATTGTATAACAGAGCTCCTAATTATAGTGACTTGACGTATTATTCTGGAGCACTAAAACATCGTTATATTTTTTATTGTGTGTCAGTTGCTGAGTCGTGTCCGATCTTTGAGACCCCATGGACTGTGCGTGGGGTTTCCCAGGCAAGACCCCAGTCTCCTGTTCATGGAATTTCCCAGGCAAGGACACTGGAATGGGTTGCCATATCTTCCTCCAGGGGATCTTCCTGACCTGGGATCAAACTCATGTCTCTGGAGTCTCCTACATTGGCAGGCAGATTCTTTACCACTAGTGCCACCTGGGAAGCCCATATTCCTTTCTTTCCTTCTTTTTTTTTTAAAGTAAAATACAACAAAATGTTTAATGAGCAAATTTGTCTTAGCAAATGTGAAACTGCCACAGAGAGGAGGAGAGGGACAGGGACCCATTCTTATCACTTGAAATAAAATGGATCATTCAACTAGAATTTTAGAGATACTTAGGATATATAGTAGTTTCTATTATAATAGAATATGGTCTAAAGCAATGCTTCAGAATTTAGTAGTTATAAATCTTCCCTGTAGCTAAATTCAGCAGTTCTGGAATGAGCTTCTGTCCTGGTCACTAAAATGTGTCATATATAGGAGTTTTACATTATTAGGAGGAAAGAAAATCTATAGGTTCTGGAAGAAATTTAAGGTAACAGGTAATGTTTCACCAATGAGGATTTCTTTGAATATGATTAAGATTGTTTTTAAATTTTTAATAACTGGTATCCTGATTTTCAAAATAATATAAGTTTGTTATAGTTTGGAAAACACAGAAGAGCACAAAGATGAAGATTAAAAAAAAACCCACCACCCAGAGAAGACAAATTGAACTTCTCAGTATACATTTTTCTGTTCTCTCTCTATATATGTCATGTGTGTAACTGTGTGCTTTTGTTTATTTATTTGACAGAATTGGGACTGCTGTGCTTATAGTTAGGTTTGTGCCCTGCTGCTTTCACTTAACATCATGCTGTGTGCATTTTCCCATGTGTATTAGTCAGTGTCACAGCAGGAAACATGGTACATGGCTGTGGCATTGTCAGTAAAGAGACTGTTTAGAAAAACAGGGGCAGGTGAAAGGAACCAATGGAGGACTCTGAAGCATCCAAACACTAGTGGGTAATTGTTACTACCTTAAGATTCATCTGAGAACTGGGGCTGTGGACAAAGGGCTGCCCCACGGAACTGTGGTCAGAGGGGGTCACTGCCAGGACCATGCTGAAGCAGAAGGAGCAGGAGGGCTCGTTGTCACTCAGACTCCTCTCTGCTCAGCCTCTCTGACTTGCTGCGGCCATGGCTGTTGGCAGAAACTAACAGAAGACCAGAGGGCTGGGGAGGCCTGGGAGATAAGTCTTCAGAGGTCAGTCTCCCACACGGAAGAGAAGAGCAGAAAACAGTTAGCACAGTAAAAATATTCATCCAGGCACTTTTTTTTTTTTTCATTTACTTGACTGCAGCCCGGTTTTTAGTTGTAGCCTGCAGAATCTAGTTCCCTGACCAGGTAATGAATCTGGGCCCCCTGCCTTGGAAATGCAGAATCTTAGCCACTGGACCACCAGGGAAGTTCCAGTCAAGACACTTTTTTAACATCATGAACATCATGATGCCATGATGTTCCCACATACAGAAGACCCCAACCTAACTTCTGAGATTTTTTTTTTATTGACCATTCTCTTAATTAACCATTTACATTGGGTTCACTATTTTGGTATTTCAAATGACACTCAGAAAAGCGTCCTTGAACAGAGGTAGAACTACTGGGTCAAATAGTCTAAAGATTTTTTTCTAAGCCCCTGAAATATACTTCCAAAATGATTATATAGTTTGCTCCTAACCCATAGTGGAAGAGAGGGCCATGTCCTTATACCCTTATAGGTACTAAAAATTAAGATGTCTTCAAATCTTTAATTACCAATAAGACTGGCAAGTTTAGGATTTTTTTGGTTTTTGAAGGAAAAGAATCTCTCCTTTTTTTTTTAAGATAAGTGTCATTGAATTCTGTCTTTCTAAAAGTGGAATCTTGGACTTGTCTGGTGGTCCAGGAGTTAAGACCATGCACTTCTACTGCAAGGGGTGCAGGTTTGACCCCTGGTCAGGGAACTAAGACATCCTGCATGCCACACAGTATGGCCAGAAAAAAAAAAGCAGAATCTCACAGTTTAAATTTTATAACTATAGGAAGTTATTTTAAAAACTACATTTTCCTATATTGTGATCACATGATTAGATCAATAGGAAGAGATGAGATACTTCTGTGTTTCTTGAGGCAGTCAGGACTTTGGCCAGGAACCATGTATTGACCTTTGCTCTTGAACCCCTCCACAAGCACAGATTCCCAGGCAGAATTTTCTTAACTGAGTAAAACAGTTGGGGAGCCAGCTCTTGTGCTCTGGGTGATCCTGAATGAGCTGTGCAGACCAGGAAAGTCCAGGCTAAGCAGAGAAGCTGCTCAGGAGCCTGGGTGTCATCATAGTTAATGTGACCGACAGCTGGCTCACTGTGGGATTGTCTCTTCCTATTTCTGATGATCAGAGAATTTAAACAGATGACCGTCAAGGTCAGGTCACTCGGAAGGGCCTCATTGTGTGTGGATTTGTTTGGGCCATGTCCAGCCTTTCCTTCCCCCTTTTCTTTTTCTTAAGATGTGCTGTTTCCAGGTCAGGAAGCCAGGGAGAAGTCCCGGCCTGACTAGTTCCTGTTGCTTTCCCTCAGAACCACAAGCAGCAGCGGCGGGCTGACCATCAGCAGCCTGCTCAAGGAAAAGGAAGGCTCCGAGGCGGCCAAGTTCACCCTGGAGGAGCTCTGCCTCATCTGCAGCATCCTGAGCACCGCAGAGTACTGCCTGGCCACCACCCAGCAGGTGAGCCACCCCGGCCACCCACATGCCCCCTTCTCTTCCTGAGCTGTCTGGGGCACCCGAGCTCAGGTAGAAGACCACACAACCTCGGACAGACCCACTGGCCTCCCCCAGGGAACAACTTGAGGTCCAGCCAGAAGACAGCCCCAGCAGCTACTGCACAGAAGGACCATGTTAAAGGGAGGCTGGGCGAGACTGACCAGCCTCCTCCCTGGAGCTGTGTAAGCCACTCAGAGGGCATGATGTGCCCTCTTGAAAGTAGGTCAGTAGCCTTGTCTCCCATATGTGAAAAGCAGTAATAAGCATAGTGGTGCTAGGCCCCAGACTTGGTGGTGCTGAGTCACAACCAGTGGTTTTGTTCTCAGGAGGGTTACCAGGCTCAGCAAAAACCCTCTGGGCTTTTATGTGTCTCCTGAAATTTATAGAGCATTCTCTATTCTGCCGAAACAAATAACCATTGTTTGGATGCTGACGTTCAGGAACCGGGAAGCAGGAAAGGGTGATGCCCCTGCTGGAGCTCCCATTAGCAGAAGGAAGACCCAGAAGAATTTTCCATTCAGCCTTCAACATGGGATTAGAAGTTCCTTTCCACATTGGCTCTGGAATTCACTTAAGGTCAAGAGAAAGAAAATAACTACGGAAGGTTCCATTCTTCCTCCCTTTTGGGATTTCTTATTTCTGCATGCCTAGATCATAGGAAGGCAGCCATGACTTACAGTTCAGACAGCTATAGTTTGGAGCACCTGTGAGCCAGAGCAAGAATACAGGAGGCCAGAGAAGGGTCCCCCCAGAACTTCACAGTTGAGGTTAAGCCAGCCAGAGGCGTGGGCAGTAGTATGCCCTGCTTGGGGACATGGTCACACGGAGTCACGCCAGGAATAACCTGTGAAGTTTTGGCCTTGGAGCCAGAGACAGCCACCCGTTTAGTGTCAGAACTTCCAGGGCAGGATGGCAGTATCTATGAGGACCTCCAAGGCAGGGCCCAGAGTTCTTTGATGAAGAAACACGATTTTAACTATTTTGTGTGTGTGTGTGCAGAAAGAGAAAAACACACACATATAAATAGGGTATTTTAATAGTAAAATAACCATGGTACCAAAAAGAACTATATAATCAATGACTCTCAATCCCATCACCCTCAAATAATCATATTAGCAATTTGAAGCCTTTTTTTCTGTGCTTTTTCATGAACATAGTTTCATATGTTCTATAATTAACTTAGTTCACTTTTATATCCTCTTGTTGTTTTTAACATCACAGTGTTAGCATTTCTCCTGTTGCTCTGATGTCTTTCTTGCCATCATTGTTATGGTTACATAATAGTCCAATAAGGGGCTATACCATAAATCATTTAACAGTATCCCTGACAGTTGTTTATACTATTTCCAGTTTTTGCTTTTATGAGTAGTCCTACAAAGAACACCTAAATATGGTTTGCATTATTTTTTTAGAGGAGATCCTTAGAAGTTCTAGACGTATTAGTAGATCAGAGACCATTCTGATGACTCACGATAGATATAGCCAGTTTTTTGTTAGAGAAAAGTATTTTTACTGATTGTAAAAGTAGATACATTTTTGGCACCTATATTGTGCTCTCTCAATACCATTTTTCATTGAGGGGAACCAGTCATTCCTAAAGAAATGACTAATTCCAGGTCTGAGGAAATGTACAAGATGAATGTGGAATATCAGATCATACAAAAAGCAAGACTATGAGAGTCATTTAAAAAGGACTCAGGAGTGGTAGTGGGTTTTATGGTACAAAACGATATGTCCAGGTCCTAAGCCCTGGTACCTGTAAATGTGACCTAATTTGGGAATAGAGTCTTTGAAGATGTAATTGAGTCAGAATCTCAAATGAGATAGTCTTACATTTAGGGTGAGCCCTAAATCCAGTGACCGGTGTCCTTAGAAAGGAGAAAGTGAAAAGCAAAAGTCGCTCAGTCATATCCGACTCTTTGTGACCCCATGGACTATACAGTCCATGGAATTCTCCAGGCCAGAATACTGGAGTGGGTAGCCTTTCCCTTTTCCAGGGCATCTTCCCAACCCAGGGATCGACCCCAGGTCTCCTGCATTGCAGGAGAATTCTTTACCAGCTGAGCCACAAGGGAAGCCCAAGAATACTGGAGTGGGTAGGCTATCCCTTCTCCAGGGGATCTTCCGACCCAGGGATCAAACCAGGGTCTCCTGCATTGCAGGCGAATTCTTTACCAACTGAGCTATGAGGGAAAGCCCTTGAGAAAGGAGAGGGAGATGTAACACACTAAGACACAACGAAGATGCCCACATGAGGGAGGCAGAGACTGGAAGGATGCAACCAGGGAACACCAAAGTTTGCCAGCCACCACCAGGAGAGAGGACAGACATGGGGTGGTGCTACTTCAGAGCCCCCGGAAGGACCCAGCCCCGCCAGCCCCTTGACTTTGGGCTTTCGGCCTCCAGATTCTGTGAGAGGATACCTTCCTATTTTAAGCTACCAAGTTTGTAGTAATTTATTATGGCATCCCCAGGAAGCTGATTACAGGAGCCAGCTCTGCTAGTCAAAGATGAGACATATAAGTATCACTGAGACTGTTAGCTACAGTGGATTGAAAACATTAAATATGTTTAAATCCATTTGGTTACAATGATTTTTTTTTTTAATTCAGTTACCACACTGGAAGATACTAAGAAATCACTGGTATGAATTGAATATTGGCAAAAAGAGGGAAAGTTCTTACCCTGCTTTGCCTCTCTGACTTGTAGCTCAGGATAACCAAATCACTGACAATGGGTAGTGTATCTTTATAGAGGATTTTCAGCAAATAAATGAAGAAGAAAAGATAGAATTTGAATAGCATTCTTTTATACCTCCTTAGTGGAATAATGGATATGGCATTGACCATCAGTGGTTGCTGACTGTACAAAAAGAGAAAAACAAACATCAGGTATCTCTTGATGGAACTACACAGCATCATCATGAAGGAGTTTTCTTTCTGTCTGTTATTTTTCACTGTGCCATGCAGCTTGTGGGATCTTAGTTCCCTGACCAGGGATTGAACCCAGGCCACAGCAGTAAAAGCTCCGAGTTCTAACCACCAGGGAATTTCCATGAAGGGGTTTTCTTTCAAAAAAAAAAAAAAAATCTGGGGCGTCCCTGGTGTTTCAGTGATAAAAGAATCCGTCTGCCAATGCAGGAGACACAGGTTCAATCCCTGGTCCAGAAAGATCCCTCAGGCCATGGAGCACCTAAGCCTGTGTGCCACAACTATTGAGCCTGTGCTCCAGAGCCCAGGAATGACGACTGCTGAGCCCGCGTGCCCTAGAACCCGGGCTCCATGGCAGCAGAGGCCACTGTAATGAGAAGCCCGGGCACCACAGCTAGAGAAAAGCCTGTGCAGCAACAAAGACTCGGCACAGCCAGAAATAAATAATGAGTAGAATCTGTATCTGATCGAGCTGCAGTTTACAGGAAATACAAGGCACAGAAGAACTTGCCAATTAGTACCTTGTGGATACAATCAGTAAAATCATACCATGAGAAAAGCTACAAGGCAAGCAACCCAGTTTCCTTAAGAAAAAACACAGAGGGTTGTAGTTGGGGGGATGCAAGAAGAAATGGAAGGGAGAAACCAAAGAGACTCAAGAATCCAAGCAATAAAGAATTGAAAAATAATGCTTAAAATACAGTGCCAATAATGTGTCAATATCAGTTCATTACTTGTAACACATTTACTCTTAACAGCTGCATAAGTGTGCCATTCATTGCTTCAAGAGCTCTTTATGAAGCACTTATCAGGCACCAGGCACCGTATTTGGTATTAATTCACAGTGGTGAACAGAGTAGACAGATTTCTTACCATGGAGCTTAGGACTAATAGAAGAGCCAGATAATACAAGTAAGGCAAGATGTAACCCCAGTTTTGTGGGAAGTTCTAGGAAAGAAACGGGTGTTGCAGTGCTAATAGAGGTTGCCTACTGAGGTAGAGTAGTCAAAGAGGGCCTCCCAGAGGAGGTGATAATGAAGTAGAGACCTGAGTGTTGGAAGGAGGTTGCCTGGAAGGGCTGGGCACTGGGGAGTGGCAAAACAAGGGAGCTGGCTTAGCGGGATGAGCAGGGAAAGGGAGAGGAAGCAGGAAGCGTAAAGGCCCTGAGAAGGAGAAGACCCTAGTGTGTTCTAGAACCTTAAGAGTTCACTATAATTAAAGCCGAGCAGGCAAGGGCAGGGAGAGCAAGATGTGGGCCAGAGAGCTAGAGAGGACCCAAATCATAATTAGAAGTTGGAATAGTTGGATTTTATTGTCAATGTAATGGGAAAAGGCAGCTGACGGGTTGAAGCCATTGTGAGCCTGTGCCATAATTTGTCTCCTCAGTGTCTTACAAACGTGCAGATTGTTTCTAGTTTTTCACTAATATAAACAACACTAGAGTGTGAGCTTTATGAGAAGAGGGTCTTATCTGTTTTTGTTCACAGACTACATCATGACAGAGCCTGGTACAGAATAGATTAGTTGCTCAGTCATGTCTGACTCTTTGCAACCCCATGGACTGTGTGTAGCCCACAAGGCTCCTCTGTCCATGGAATTCTCCAGGCAAGAATACTGGAGTGTGTTGCCATCCCCTTCGCCAAGATGTCTTTCCAACCCAGGGATCGAACCTGCATCTCCTGCATTGCAGGCAGTTTCTTTACCGTCTGAGCCGTCAGGGAATCCTGGCACAGAATAGGCTGTCAGTAAATATCAGTTGAATTCATGACCACTGCAAAGAACTCCTGTACATCTCTGTACCTTGTTCTCATCAGTCATTGAAATATCTTTCTAGATGCAAAATTGCTGGCCGAAAGAGAGTGTATATTTAAATGTTTGCTTTTTAAATAAATTGCCTTCCCAAAAAGTTACATTAATTTACCCACCCCTAAGAGATATTTTAAATTTAAGACAAAACATTCGTTATTCTTAGAGTTTCTGTGATAAATGGGTTTGAGGCTGCTCAGTGAAGCGATTCCTGGGATGTTTTGAGATATTTACAGTTCCTGGTCAGTTGTATTTTTCTTCGAGATGGCTGGGAGCTCAGCCAGTTTCCCTCCCTCGGCTGATGGAGGCAGAGACCGTGTTTCTTTTGTTTACCTCAGTATCCCCAACACTTTAATAAGGTGGGGGAATGGTCCATCCCAGCGCTCAGGGAAGACTTTTGATTTTATTGCCACCTACCCCTGGAGGCTTCCAATGTTAGTGGGTAAGCCTGCAATTCACAGGGCAGGGAGTAATCTAAAAATGGGGGTCTTTTTAAAACTAAATTTGATTAGGACTTCTCCGATGGTGCAGTGGATGAGTCTGCCTGCCAGTGCAGGAGACACGGGTTCCATCCCTGATCTGGGAAGATTCCACATGTCGAGGGGCAGCTTAAGCCTGTGAGCCCCAACTACGGAAGCCCGTGTGCCTAGAGCCTGTGCTCTGCAACAGGAGACGCCACAGCAATGAAGCCTGTGCACCGCAACAGAGCAGCCACTGCTCGCTGCAGCTAGAGAGCGTCCGAGCAAAACAATGAAGACACAGCACAGCCAAAAATAAAGAAATAAAGATGAAATAAGCTTTTACGTGTCATAAGAACCAAGTATAGCACAGGGCCAGAGAGCACAGGTTCTGGAGGGTATTCAGTTCCCTCCCTCCCACTCACCAAGCTGGGTAGGCCACGCCTCCACATTCTCGTCTATCAAGTGAGGATCATAGTAGAGTCTTCTTCACAGGGCCGTGAGAATTAGATGAGCCCACACATGGAAAGTGCCCAGAATGGCACCCGAATCATCACACTCGGTAAGTGTGAAGTAGTCGTACTACGGTGCTCCTTCCGATAACCACTAAGCATGTTTCTCTCTCTCTGTCAGCTGGAAGAGAAACTCAAGGAGAAGGTCGACGTGAGTCTGATTGAACGAATCAATCTGACTGGAGAAATGGACACGTTCAGCACGTGCGTACTTGCAAGTCCCTGCTCGAGACTCTACCCTTACCCTGCCCAGAGCAGCGCGTCTCAGGCCATCAGCTTAGGTCACTGCAGAAGCTGAGAGGTTCCCAGAGCCTTCTGTTGAATCAGGATTATCTTCTCCACAAGCCACTAAGGAGCCTGAGAAGTTGCTGCAGCTGACCCACATCCTGCCTCCTCACATGCAGTCATTCTTAGCTTACAGGGGTTTTAATTGCTACAGTATCTATAATAATGGCCTTCTCTGGTGACTTAGCAGTGAAAGAATCTGACTGCCAGTGCAGGAGACTTGGGTTCTATCCCTGGGTCAGGAAGATCCCCTGGAGAAGGAAGTGGCAACTCACTCCAGTATTCTTGCCTGGAAAATCCCATGGACAAAGGAGCCTAGCGGGCTACAGTCCATGGGGTCACAAAAGAGTTGGACACAATTTAGTGACTAAACAACAACAATCTAGAATAACAGGGAAGAAGAACTTTCCCACCTCAGCCATCCCTGCAGGAAGGTCAGGTCCAGGGCCTCCTGTCTGCCCCTCTCAATCCACAGAGGGCCAGCCTCAACTTCAGTGTTTTGGGATGTAAAGGGTGAGCGACCTGATTTTAGCCATGGAGGCAGGTGGAGGAGTGGGCAGGGCACGGATGTATTTGGGGTGGGAGGGTGTCTGTCCAAGGAGTTCAGATGAAAGCCTTTGGAATCAGTTCTTGCCCTGGTGCCACCTGGCAGGGTTTTGTCGTGGTCTTTAAGTGAGATTGGGGAAGGACAAGCTTCCGCTTTCTCATTGGCCACTTAGGAAAAATCCAGATTCTCTTCTTAGGTCATTTCCTCTCTTTCTCTCAACCTTTTTTTCCCTCCAAGGTCTGATTTAAACATTTTAGGAAAGCGTGTACTTTGGGAGGAGTGAAGAGGGATTCTGGGCATAGCAGCAGGGGAGATGAGCCACAGGATCTTGTGTCCTGACCGAGTGGGGACACACCCGAGCGAGACCAGACACACAGCTAGAAGGAGGGTGGAGCCAAGATGCTCCTCTTTGTCATTCATTCCTTTTTGAAATAAAGAAACTCGAGTTTTTCTGATGAAATGGTGAAGCTAGGTTTTGCACAGGTGCCTAAAACCCTGGCAGGGGGCTGTGTCGGTGGGTCATTCACAAGTCACTTCTGTAAGCCATGACCACAGTGGTGTGTTTGACTTGCAGTGTCATCTCCAGCAGCATTCAGCTGTTGGTTCAGGACCTGGATGCTGCCTGCGACCCTGCCCTTACGGCCATGAGCAAGGTAAGCTTTCGGGAAGTGCTGCCTCCTGAACATCCGAGAGTGAGTGCAAGTGGTCTCTCCCAGTCCTCACCTGTAGCTCCTGCGGGCTCTCCGGTGCTTAAAGCACCAATTAGGAGGAGAACGGAGCCCTCCCAGGAGTTTCCACAGGTGCTCAATTGATCTCGCACCTGAAGTCAGTTATTTGTCCTTTGAGAATGAGACGGGGAGCAGGTATGTTTCCTGAGTCTGAAGGAGAGGTTGCCTTTGGTCAGCATCTGACATGTGCAGAAAACCCTTTGTGTGGCCTCCCAGAATGGGTGAAAGTGAAAGGTTGCTCAGTGGTGTCCGACTCTTTTGGACCCCATGGACTGTAGCCCACCAGGCTCCTATGTCCATGGAATTCTCCAGGCAAGAATCCTAGAGTGTGTAACCATTCCCTTCCTCAAGGCATCTTCCCCACCCAGGGATTGAACCTGGGTCTCCTGCATTGCAGGCAGATTCTTTACCAGCTAAGCCACCAGGGAAGCCCTGGTGGTGGTGGTGTGCTTAAGGCAGTCACTTCTAACTCATCTTTATTCCTGCCACTCAGAGGTTTTTCCAACTCTTTCTGAATTCTGGTGACTGTGCAGGGTTATTTGATCAGGTTGCAGACCCTGGTTTTCTTTTCTTTTTTTTAGATATTTATTTATTTCACTGCAGCGGGCCTCATTTGCAGCAGGCAGGATCTTTAGTTGCAGCATGGGGGATCTGGTTCCCTGACCAAGGATCAAATCTGGGCCCCTTGCATTGGGAGTGCAGACTCATAGCCACTGGACCACCAGGGAAGTCCCACCTCTGGTTTTCTAACATCGTGGTGACCCGTCCGTCCACCCTCAGTCCCCAGGCCTCTCCCTTGGCATTTCCCATGTGTGGCCTCATGTTGCTCTTTGGCTTTTAGGTGCCTGTGTCTTTTCTTCCTAATGTAAATACCTCGAGTGCATGGACTACAGAGAATAGAGAAGACTCTCATATTTGTTGATTGATTAAGTTGGAAATAAGCAGTTCTTCATTGATTTTTTTCCCCCCTTAACATTTATTTATTTGGCTGCACCAGGTCTTAGTTGTGGCATTTGGGTTCTAGTTCCCTGCCCAGGGATCAAACCCAGGCCCTCTGCATTAGGAGGTCGGAGTCTTAAAGGCTGGACCACCAGGAAAGTCCCTTCATTGATTTCTAAGCCAAATAACACAAAGCCGTCCACTCTTTGAGCCTTTTAGAGCAGTGGTTGGCAAACTACAACTGGTGAGCCACATCTGGCTCACCGCCAGATAAAGTTTTATTGGCACACAGCCACACTCATTCATTCATATGTTAATCTGTGGCTGCTTTTCTGCTACAACAGCAGAATTAAGTAACTGCACTGAGACCAGATGGCTGGCAAAGCCTAAAATATTAACAGTCTGGCCCTTTACAGAAAAAAGTTGCCAGTGCCTATTCTAGAGTCATAGACTTTGGTAGCATTCTTATAAATTCTGCAGAAAGAACTTCTCAGGGGACTGTACTCTGCTACTGGCCAGTAGCAGAGTACAGTGGAAGGAACACTGGCTTTGGAGTCAGACAAACCTAACTCTTCTCATTTTTCCTTTGGGCGTGTTGAGCAAATAACAACCTCTCTGGGCGCAGGTTACTTCATCGGTATGTGAAACAGGGGGCTCTGCCTCCCAGAGCGTTGAGAGGATGGAGACTGGCCTGGTGCCAGCAAGCGTTAGCCCTCTCCCTCTGGTCAGGAGGAGCGGCTGTGTGACAAGATTGTGTAAGCGAGACATTCAGTCTGAATTTGCTTTTGTAGTAGGTTGTAAATATTTAACAAAAAAAGCGGTTAATACCCAAACTTAAGCTTCGGGTTTTTTTGTTTTTTTTTTTTTATGATGCTCAGTGGGGAGTCCTGAGTAGCCGATGTCACAGAGTTTCCTTTCAAAAGGCTGATCCTTTCACCAATCAGAGGTGAATGTGTATTTCCAGCATCCAAGTGTTTACAAGCAGAAGACTGGAGCAGGCAAACTGAGGCTCACTCATTTTCTTAGAGAGACGTGACTCTGAAGATTGATTCTGCAGGCTCTGATTATCCCCTCACTGCTGGTGAACGTTCCGACATCCTGAGCATGATCTGCTCCAGCTGCCTCCTCTCCTGCCCTGCCACACACTTTAGGTCGGAAGGCAGCTGGGGAAAGAATTTCTACATTTACCAAAGGAAGAGTGAATTTTTCTTTTCTTTTTAGTAAAATAGCAGTTGGAGGGGCTTTAACACTCCAGGTGTTGCTTATGTGAGCTGTCATTTCATTAGGTGGGTTTCCTTCAAACTCCCCCCACCACCCATCTCTCCCCCAGACCCACACCAGCAAACACTAACAGAGACCATACCTCCAGAATCTTTTGTTTATATCACAGGAAAACCACAGACGTGGGAACCCAGCAGCTGGGAGGCCATTCCTCTGTGTCTGAATCTTCTGGAGTTCTGGCAAAATGAAATCCATGTGATGAAAATGACCAGATATAAACAAGCCAAGTGGTCACAGACTGATTCAACAAATACCCTGTGATTCATGCCTGCATTCTGTTCTGTGTAGTTTCTTCTAGGATTTTTTAAAAACTTTTGTGATAATGTTTATTCTTGTCTGTGATTCCATCATTTTTGCTGCTAGTTGAATAGTTCGATTCAGACTCTACCCAGAGCAAGGCTGGGAAAGTTGTGAACCTTATTCCGAGGTGCTTGTTGTTGCTCTTGCTGTTCAGTCACCCAGTCGTATCCAACTCTGCAATGCCATGGACTGCAGCAGGCCAGGCTTCCCTGTCCTTCACCATTCTCCCGGAGTTTGCTCAGATTTGTGTCCACTGAGTTGGTGATGCCATCAGTTGACCATGAGTATGCGGGTTTGTTTCTGGACTCTCAGTTCTATTCCGTTCTATGTGTCTGTTCTCACGCTAGGGTCACACTGTTCTGATGATTGTAGACTTCTAGTAAGTCCTGAAATCAGGAAGTATGAGTCTTCCAACTTAGTTCTTTTTCAATTTTGTTTTGGCTCTTTTGAGTGTCTTGCGGGTTCACCGTTCTTTGTCTCATCCAGAGTATCCTTCTCCCTCAAGACACCATGGCACTTATATTAAGTCTCTACTTTGCTGTACAATTATTTTTCTATCTCTGTCTCCCCTGTTAAGCTGTGAACAACTTGAGTGCTGTCTTAATCATTTTTTTATCTCCCGACACAGCACAGTACTTGCTTAACAGTAGTACTCCTGGAATGACTTTGAGGGTAAAGAAAGCAGAAAGAACAGAACAAAAGTTTATAGACACTCACTTCACCAAAGAATGGTGACCACGTGAGACAGAGGTGGTAACTCTTATTGACCAGATTTAGCTGGGTAGAGCTGGCAGACAGTAGGAGACTCGGGCATCTTTATTGGAAATGGCAGGATCATAGAAGCCTTGAAGCCTTCAGGCACATCCAGGTGCTGTTGAGGATGAGGTGATGATCCTCAGTGGTACTTAATAGCCAGGATTCTTATTTCACCAAGTAGCATCCTGGAGCAGATTGAAGTTGGAAATAGGAAATGCCCACATCTAGCTGTTTACTCCCCAGCTGTGGGCAAGAACCTGCTGCTGGTGAAGGAGAGAACAACACAGAGGGGCAAATTTGGTAGAAAATCCACAGGAACGGCTCTAAACTGGCCAAACCCACAAGGAGGAAGCATAATACAAGCAAACTTTAGTGGTTTCTCTGAAACTGTATAACCTTGAGTTAGTGTTATTGATAAGTTATGTCAAAATTACCCTTCAGACCGCTTTCCCCTCCTATATTGCATTATTTTCTCAGATGAGCTCCGTGAGATGATTAGTAAGTTGCTATTTACGGAGCGCTTTACCAGGAATCAGCACCCAAAGGCATTATTGCGTTTAATTCTGACAAATATATAAGGTTCCTGTGTTAGTTCCTTCTCAGTTTCACAGATAAGAGAATGGAAACTCCTCAGATCTCTTAGTTAAAATGCAACAGAGCCAGGATTCAGACTCAGGTCTCTCCTCTGTGCAGTAACACACCACACCTACAGAGTAAGTTAGTCTTTTGGCACATGGAAACTGAGGCAAACATCAGCCTAAGTAATTTGCCTAAAAACAGAATGACAGTGTGTGCTCGGTACTGGTGGGTTCACATGAGCGTGTTTCCATGCTCACTCCACTATGAGCTCCTCAAGCATTCAGAAGCATCCTGTTAGATACTGCTCTTCAGCTTCTCTCAGTCAGACACCAGACTTTCCTACAGGGAAGAAAACAGGCTGAGCAGCCAAGCCAAGTATTGCAGCCTGCTCTGCACGTTTCTCCAGAAAATTAATGAATTATCATTCTGGCATGTGTGTTACTTGGTTTTATTTTTCATAATATGTCCAAGGCCATAGAGCTTTATAACGGTAACGCCAAAAATAAAACCGAGTCTCCTGATTCTTGAGAAGGAAGTTGTTTGGAGTGCTTTGGTGGAAACCATGTGAAGAGTTCTGTCTTTTAAATGTAATTTCTGTGAATTCTCAAGAATTCATATGTCCCTGCCAGATGCTGATGTTCAGTGTAATTTTGCCTGTTCAGCCACAGAAAGTGGTACTCAGTCATGGAATGTATTGTAGCTTTTAACCCCTGATGTGTACATGTTGTGTAACAGGAAGGGCAACAATAAGATTGCAGTCCTACAAAATGAATACGGCAGAAAAGGGTCAGTGAGCACAATCTTATTTCCTTTTGTTGTCCAGAATAATTGTAATTCTTGAGCCTCCTAGAAATTGGAAGCTAAAGAAAGCAATTCAAGTTTCCTTAAAAAAAAAAAAAAGAAGAAGAATTAGTATGCCTGAATATGGCCTTACAAGTAGGATTTTTTTTTTTTAATCTGTGGCTTCCTTAAAAGGAACCATTGGTCCCATGGTCCTTCTCACTTTGTCCTTTTTCCTAGGGCTACTCACATCCCTAGGTTGAAAGAATCTAAGTCTCCGTCCAGAATCA